CTGGCTGCCCCCTTTCTCTCTGCAGGGACCCCTCTGGAAACCCCCCAGGGTGGCACTGGTAGTCCTATAAGCCCAGCTTTAGATGCTTTACAGGGCTGGTTTTTACCATCATTCCCCTTCTCCTCACCCATCACCCAACTCTCGGGGGCGGGCAGGGTGGGGAGAGGCTATTTTTCTGAGATACTGTGAATTTCTTCATGGAAATCCATATCTGGAAGAACCAAGCCCCCACAACCCCACAGTGGGTACCCCAGAAATGAGCTTCGCCCCGTTGCAACCACCAACTGCTGTCCCACCTTCACTTGCTCTGACTGGCACAGAGATTTTAGCGCTGAGGAGATAGGGCTGCGTTAACAGAGACACTTGGCATGGACCAAGCTGAGGTGCAATGAGTTTGTGGGGTAACAGCAGGAGCTGGGGGGGGATGGAGTGGAAGCACCCTAGGGCCCATCGAGGGCTGCTCTCTGTTGCCAGGGGCCTCATCGGGCTGAGCAGCAACTCCAGCTACTACCTGAAACCCCTGGGGACCCCCGAGCGGGGCCACCACATCATCCACCGAGCAGAACACTTGCCCAGCCAAGGTGGGACCTGCGGCCACGGCGATGATTTTGGGAGCACCGTGGCTGACATCGCTCGGTTCTTCCAGCCACTGCACCACCGGGTAAATCCATCCCTGGGTCCTCTGCTCATGGAGGGGAACAGGGCTGGGAGGGGGGGGCTGCCTGCACCCTGTGGCGGGGTGCCCATCACCTTGGCCTCTGGGCAGAATGGATGTGAAGGGTCTACGTGGGCATTCTACCTGGTTTGGGTATGGGCAGAGGACGTGTGGGTTGGGTACCGGTGCTGTGTGGGACATGATGTGAGGTGATGCTGGGAATCGCACTGTAGCTGTTCAGATTTTCCTTGTTGCCGCGTGCCTCAGTTTCCCCTCTCAGCTGTCCTGGCTGATCAGCTCTGAGGGAATGAGACTGAGATGCCCAGAGCCATGGGTGTCCGCTCCTTCGCTCCTCTGAACCTTTCTGTCTGTCTTGCAGGGGAAGAGAGATGCCTGGAGGACCATGAAGTACATGGAGCTCTTCATTGTTGCCGATCACACACTGGTGAGTCCTAGCGGGGGGAGCAAAAACATGGTCCCCTCCTGAAAAGCCAGGACCCATCTCGGTCTCCGTCCTTGCTTTTCCTCCAGTGACTCTTCCCCATCCCCATCTCTCTGCAGTACAGGAACCAGAACCTCAACCTGGGCCACACCAAGCAGCGCATCGTGGAGATCGCAAACTACGTGGACAAGGTAGCGGCCAGCGACTGGAACCTGCCGGTCCCTTGTGGCCAGCCCCACCGTTCCCAGTGTATCTGACAGCACCTGAGCTTGGGGCCAACCTGGTCGTTGTCCCCATGTCACTAGGGCTAGGAGTTTAGACGGCAAATGTGAACGTGTGGTGGAAAATGCTTTCTCACCCGTGGGCTGAGCTGAAGCAATGAAGCTTATGCTGGCTCTTGCTCTGCTGTGGTGATGGGGATCAATGCTGGCATCCTTGATGCAAGGAGGGACAAGTTTAGGTGTTGCCGGGTGGCATCGTGCCACCCTGACCGGCTCCTGTGTCCACACCTGTGCCTGTAGAGCTGATGCTTGCAGCTGGATGTGGGACAAGTGTGTCCCCGAGTCACCCAACTGGAGGGAAAGCATGGAGACCCACGAGCTGAAATGCCATGGCAGGGGTGGAGGATGTACATCCTCTCCAGCCCTGTCCCCTCCCTGCAGTTTTACAGGTCACTGAATATCAAGGTGGCCCTGATCGGCCTGGAGGTGTGGACGGAGCGGGACCAGTGCACTGTCACCAGCGATGCCAACGCCACGCTCTGGTCCTTCCTGCAGTGGAAGAAGGCGCTGAGGTCACGCAAGAAGCACGACAACGCCCAGCTGCTGACGTGAGCAACCCTACGGACCTGGGGACATTGGGACAGGAGGCTCCCAGCTTGAACTGGGGTCTCCAAACCACCCCTGGGGTGCTAAATGCCCATCCGTTCTCCTTTCTGGGCAGAGGGAAGACGTTCAGGGGGACAACCATCGGCATGGCCCCGTTGGAGGGAATGTGCAGTGCAGATAACTCCGGAGGTGTCAGTGTGGTAAGAGGGGCACTGGGGTCCCTGCTGCTCCTCCCAGGCTGGTGGATCCCATTGCCAACCTGTCTTGTCGGGGTTCTTCATGGGCTTGGAGGACCGGCAATCCAGAGTTGGTCCTGGGACAGAGCCTGAGAGGGAATGATGATGCTGGTAGCCCCTTACACCCCTCAGAGGTTGGCCAAGTACTAAGGAGAGTGAGAAGGGGCTGATGTAAAGGTCTCCCACCCCACGTACACCCCCAGCTTGCAGCTAGCAGCAGCGTTGGGATGTCCTGTGTTGCCTCTGCCCCTCATATTGAATAGCCCCTGCTTGTTCCCTGCTTGTGCTCTCCGGTTTTGTGGGGTCCACTGCAGATAACTGTCACCCTCCTCCTGATGGGGTGATGGTGGTCCCAGTGACCTGTGGTGGTGTCGGCCACCAAACTTTCTATTTTTTTGGGATGCATGTTTTAAGGCCTCAGTTTTTCAGCAGCTAGCTCCAGCAAAAGAACTTCCCAACAGTCCCAACAGAACTTTTAGGAGACCAAACCCTGCTTCTGCCACAAATCCTCCTCCATCTCTCTCTCTCTGTCCCTCCTATGGGATGCAGTTGCAATCCTGGGGATGTCGTGGTCCCTCCATCACCCCATCCCCTGCTGCGGCATCATCCCTCTCCATCGCTCTCGGGCTGCCTTGCTGACGCATCCCCCATCCCAACGCAGGACCACTCGGAGCAGCCCGTTGGAGCCGCCGCCACCATGGCCCACGAAATCGGCCACAACTTCGGCATGAGCCACGACACCACGGGCTGCTGCGTGGAGGCCACCCCGGAGCAAGGAGGCTGTGTCATGGCAGCAGCCACCGGGTAAGTGACGATGAGGATGGGATCTGATCAGGTTCTGGATGGTTTCTGTGGCTGGGTGGGCTGGGGACCGAGGAGAAGGGTCCTGTCCTGCAAGGCGCCGCTGTGGGTATGGTGCCTCGTTGCAAAGGAGGATCCAGCTGGTTGCTCTCCTCCCCGTTTGCCCTCCACATCTCAATTTCCCAGAGTGAGAATGTGCCTAGGAGCAGGTGGGGCTGGCGGTCTCTGAGAGGTAGTAGCTCCATCCCAAAAAGAGCTTGGGATGGAAGAAAATGGGTGTTACCGTAGAATCATAGAATGATTTGGGTTGGAAAGGAAAGGTTGGAAAGGATCATCTGATTCCGATCCCTCCGCCATGGTAGACACTTTGCAGGAGTTCAAGGTGCTTTCCTGGGCTCACTCACACCTCAGCACAAGGAAATTATTCTTTATTTTAAGACTGGAGGGCTGAGGGGTGCTCAGTCCCTGGCGATGCCAGCAGGGACTCACGGCGTCATGGGGCTATGGTGGGGTGAGCTCACATTCCTCACCCCAACCCCACTAAATCGGGATGTGGGTTGCTCCAGAGTGGCAGTCATTAGCTTTCAGGCTCCAGGATTTGTTTTCCTGTGCTCTTACCCTTTAATTGAAGTCCAAAACTATACAAATTTCAGCCAATTGGTGCCACTTACACTTTCAAGATCCTTTTTCCTGTTGGGTTTTCTGACTCTGGACACCATTCTCATTCCAGATTTCCCTGCGCTGCAGAAAAGCAGCTGTTTATTCCCTCCACGATGTGGTTTCAGGGTGTCCCCGGGCTGCTTTCCTGTGGCTCTCAGGGCTGTCAGACCGCGACGCTGACCACATGGGGTTTAGTCTCTGCCGAGGTGAATTGCGGCTTTTCCAGGACAAGGCAATTATGCACTTGTTTGTTTAATTATCCTACTAATTAATTCACCTGCCCCCACCCACCAGAGCTGGGTGTAGTAGTGCAAAGCAGTCGCAGATGCTGGAGCTCAGCTGTGCCCTGGCTCACACCCGCAGGGAAAACACTCCAAACTGACATCTGCCCAGGACATTTCTTCTTTCTTATTTTTACTGAAATAATTTTATTCACCTGCGTGAGCAGGAAATTTTTGACTGTCTTGAGCCCATCCCTATAGGTGCCTTCATGTAGCAGCTTATGGATGTATTTATTTGCTCACCCTCTCATAACTTGCATGGATTTGCAGCTTTCCCTAGAG